AGTATTTTAAATAAAAATAGTAAAGTAAGTATTAAAAAATATTTTATAATTGAAATATTTCCAAAAATAGAATTATTATTTAAGGAATTGCTGGAAAAATTCTTTTTCTAATCAAATCGCTCATCAAAATTCAACAAATATTTCAAATTTTACAATTCCTCTAAATACGGCGGGTTTGTTTTTCTTTTTATCTTTTTTAATTTATATTTATTAAAAAATATTCAATGCTATTTTCCATAATTTTTTTTGCCGTTTTTTTCCAAATTTTTATGATTTTTGATTTTTGATGATTTTTTTTCTTAATGATTTAATCTAATTTAGGTGATATTTTTATTATTTTGTTTTAAATTTTTATTATTTTGTCGCATGGTTTTTATTGTTTTAATCTATCGCTTTGTTCGAATAATAATTTAATTTCTAAAATTGTCTTTAATCTGCAAAGCGATTTACGAATTGCAACAGTTTATTTTAGTATTTCTTGCAAATGCAAGTTTTTAGTTCATTTTTTTTTCTTTTCTTAAAAAAACTCGGAAATTTCCATTTAAATTTACAAATTAAATTTTGCATTTTATTTTATACAAATTTATTTTGTATATTTTTCATGGTTATATATTAAATTGAATTGAATCGCATAAATCATTAAGGTCTCTCTTTCTTTGAATTCTAATTGAACCTGAAGTAATAGATTATTGCAAATTAATTTTGTAATTTTTGGCTGTCGATTATCCCATTGAATTCTTCTTTATTATTGGAAGAAATTAGCCAAAAAAGTTATTTTTGCTCGATTCATCTTCGTTTTTAAAGAGAAATTTAGTAATATTATTTGCTAAATTATCTATTTAAGCATCCATTGCTAGGAATTAAGCATTATTTTAGAAGGTAAAATCTGGTTAATTATCCGCAGTTCCACTTGTACTTCTCTTTCCACCATTTGAAACGAAGAATTTTTTTTTTTTCTAATAGCTTAGAATTAGCGAAAATCATCAGTAATGATGCATTCTATCAGAGAAAATTTTTATCGATGTCAGTTTTCTTCTTTTTTTTTGTCATTTTAATAAAAAAATTTTAATTTTAAAATTTTTTTTAAAAATATATAAAAATCGAGATAAAAGTTTTTTATAGTTTTTTGCTTAATACTTTTTATTAGTTTCGAAAAAGTTTTTTCCTTTTTTTTTATCGATTTTCATGCAATTTCCATTTTATTTTCTTTAGAAATTCTCGTGAGAAAAAAAAAAAAAATTTGAATGCAATAATGAATTTCTTGAATGAGAATCAAAATAAAAAAAATAATATTATTCGTTGTGGATTTTGTGGAAAAGAATTTTTCAATAATATCTCCCTTTTCAATTTTCTTTATTTTTTTGTTTTTTTTACTAAAAACTCATCGTTTTTATTTTTTTGGCTTTACGCTGAATTCCTAAAAGGTTATTGTGCCAGAAAAAATTTTGTCAGAGAATGGAAAACATATTTGGTTTCTTCGATCGGAAATGGGAAATGGACATAAATTCCTAAAGGCTTAAATCACACGAGAAAAATTTTGCTAGTGAACAAAAAACAGATTTGATCAGATTTTCTATCGCAAATAAGAAGCATAGTATTGGCGCTCATAAAATGAAAAACGAATTTTATATATATATATTTCTACTATTTCTACTATTTTAATTTAATTTTTATTTCATTTGAAAATTTTATTTATTTTGTGAAAAATTCTTCTTCTTCTTGACATTGTTGGTTATTAAGATGAGATTCCTTCATCAAAGAGTCTCATGAGAATTAATACGTAATTGAGTCGGCGGCACCAAATCCGGATTTCATTTTTATTGACAGATTTTTCGCTTTTTTCAAGAAACAAAATTGGAACTCTTGATCGACACCGAAGCAATACGCTACTCGGTCTCTTGCATCTTTTTCGTAATTTATCGAAATTATTATTCTCAAATAGAAAATTTCATAAATTTTTTCTTCGACAATCTTTATTCATTTTTAAAAGGAAAGCGCCATACCACCATAGTTACATAATTTACTAATATAATTTTCTTTTCCTTCCATTACTGTTTTGGTTGGTTGGAAAGGAATAATTTTTTTTTTCTTGAATACCAGAAAATCGCTTGAGACTTGGATCTTTCGTACTAACGCATTCATACCAAATTATTTTACTGATTACGATGAAAGTTTCTAAATTAACTATCACTTTATGAGTGTACATGAACGATAACGATAATATAATATTGAAGGAATTATAGTAGATTCTTAATTAAATTTTTAATATTTCATTGAATTTCTAAGATTAATAAATATCAGAGGGCAATGAATGGTTGAATTATCGCTTACGGCTAAATAATTTAGGTTTGATCCGAGTCCATCAACACCTATGCCTCTAAGCACAATTCAAATGATCTTTTTTTTTAGTGAATTTTTTGTCAAATCCTTTTAATTAATAAAATTTATAGGTGATAAATTTATCAACAAAAAAGCATTTTATCGATTTCTAGCAAAAGCATTTATTATTTTATCATTTATCATTTTTGATTGTAGAAAAATAAAATTCATTTCGCTTTTCAATTTCTTACTTGTTCATAGAACGATTTGTCGTTTATTTGATCAGCTTTCGATACTTTTTTTTGATTATAATTTTATTGAATCTTCTATTTTTATTTTTCTAACGAATTATTGTTAGTCTCTCATTTCCTTTTTTTTTAATTCCCATTACCAGCTTTATTCTTTGATTGCTGAATTTTCTTTATTTTTTATTTCACCTAATATTTTTTAGAATAAATTTTTCATTTTTTTGTTAATTTTGTTTTCTATTTGAATTATATTTTCAACAAATATTTTATTACTATATGCCTTTTAACATTATCATTATTATCATTTTTTATTTGTTTATATTTTTTTCAGAATTTTTAAGTAAAAAAACGAATGAACGAACTGTAATGGGAGTTGTTGAAGAAGCTCAATCGAGTGGTCAACAAACTGACCGTTCTTCTGGTGGCGATATTCAAAGGATACTTCAAAATGAACAATATAGGAAACCATTTCAGGTATCATTTTTCAAAGGCTGAACAAATCCACTGATAAAAATAAACTATTATCACTGATAATAATAAATGAAATTCATATGTTTATTTTATAACTTCTCGCATAAATATTTCTAAATGAATTTAATAAAATGAATTTAATAAAATTGAAAAAGAAAAAAAAATGAAATTAACCACTAAACCAGAAACTAAAATTTTTCTACGTTTATTTCGTCCAGATAAGGAGTTTTTTTTTTTATCATTCGATTTGCATTAATTTTTCCATTTCATTAATTTTTAAAGGAATAATGACCATAGTTTAATGATAATTTATCATCGTTATCTCTAAATTATATCTGTCTTTTGCGGCTTTTCCATTTTTAAATAAAAATCAATTATGACATGTGAAGGGAGCGGCGGCATGTGTTCTTTCCATATCATCGATCCATCTATTCGTTCATCCCAGCTGGCTGGCCATTCTGCTATCCATGCATTTATATATATATATTTATGTATATATATATGTACATATATATATGTATATATAAAAATATATTGATCCCTTTTCTTCCTCAGCAACCGTTTTTGAACGTATCGATTCATATAAATGAAAAATAAATTGGCTCGTCGCTTTGTTTTTGAGGGATTTTCAATTTTTTTAACATCAAAAGAAAAGCGAAAAAAAAATTTAATAAATTTAATAAAATTTAATAAATAGTATGAAATATTTTTTCGCATGAAAAATTTTGCATGAATTAACAGCAAATATGAGTCGTAATTAATTTGATTATCAATATCGATAATCAAATTAATTTTTATACGAATAACTCTACTTTTGCAATTTAAAATATCTTTCGAGTTTCTTATAATTTAGTTTAGTGATATGATTTGTAAAGATTTCAACCATTTCAAGCATTATGGTTCAATTGCTTGGTCAAAATAAACTTATCAAGAACTTATTCAGAAATGATAAAGGATTTTTCCTGTACTTTTTATCACTCTTAGTTCATTGTCTTAGCTGAAGGAGCAAATTAACTAGAAATAATGAAATGCTGGTCATTTAGCAAAACAATATCGCATTTCATTGAATGTCATGAATTCAAATTTTTGTGGTACACTAAAGATTTATAAGCTATAGTATTACTTAGAATTTTTTTTAAGTTTGATCCATATATAATTATAAAGTAAATCACCCTTTATAATATATTAATAATTATAAAAATCTTATTATTTATTTATTATAAATATTAATTTTTTTTCTTCCTTCTCCTTAATTCTTCCTTCCTCAATTCTTCCTTCTTCCTTATCTCCTTATCTTTTTCAAAGAATTGCGAAAAAATTCTATGCGATCCACTGTTGATTGTGGGTTATCAATTAAAGTTAATCTAATCTATCCGCATAAATGTGATATGAAGTGCAACCGCATAAATGCAATCTGCTTAACGATTATATATCATTTGCTTTACGCTTAGCATTAGGCTTAGGCCTAAGCCCTAAGCCTAAGCCTAATGCTCATACCGTGAGTAGAACCTCAACATCAGCTCCACGTTGTGGCCGTGGCGACAGAGGTTCGATTCCAAGATCGAACGTGAATTTAGGCGTGAAAAAAAAAGTGAGAATCACTGAGAAATTTCAAGAACATTAGAAGCGATGAGAAAAAATTCTCTAAAGATAGTACTGTTGAAAGAGTGAAATTATTCTATAATTTCGGTAGATAACATCGTCTTAGCATTTTTATTTAACGCGAATTTTTGAATGACGCGAGAAAATTATCGACACGACAGTTTTATCTATATTTGATAAAAGCGGATTTATCATGTTAGCTTATATGTTAGCTTTTTTGTTAACTCTATAATCAAGGCCACTCGTTTTTCCACAGTTTTAGTTTATAGTCGCCGCTAGTATCGTCGTTTCAGCGAAAATCTCTCCCATTATTCCCCAATGATTCTTGCTTTAATTCTTGTTTAAAACTCGCTTTTGAATCGACTGACTTTGTTGAGCAAAAATTTTGAAATTTATTATAAAATTATAAAATTGAATTTTTATGGAAGTTTTTTTCAGTCAATAAAAATTTATTTAAATTTATTTAAATTTATTAAATTTATTAAAATTTTAAATAAATGCTTCTTTTTCAAAAATTATTAAATATTAATTATTGTTAATCGTTATTATAAGAAATATTTTTTAAATATATTTGTTTTTTTTTTGATTTTCTATTCCTTTCTAATATATAATTCTCAATAAAAATATTTTAATTGTTTAAAATGTATTTTTTCTTTTTTTTGAAAAAACTCATTAAATTAAAATTATTAAATTAAATGAAATTAAATTATTAAATTAAATGAAATAATAGTTTAATGAAATAGAAATAATGAAATAGTATAAATTAAAAAAGTATAAAAATATAAATAAAAAACATAAATATAAAACATTAAAAATATAAATTTATGAAATTTAGCAATTTCTCGAACAACAATTCTGCGCAGAGAATATCAATTTTTATATGGCCGTTGAAGAATATCGAAAAATTCCCGATTCAGAGGTTTTTTTTTCGATTAAATTTTTCATGAAAATTTGATATTTAATGATGAAAAATTTTCCAATATTTATATCGCAAAAATTTAATATTAGTTTATTTTTTAGATGGAGAAAAGAGCTGAAATGGCTCGGCAAATTTTTGAGCGTCATTTTACTTTAAATAGCGCTGAGCCAGTAAATATTGATAACAGTACGAGTAAAACTATTAAAGATGCTGTCTTAGAGAAATGTTTTACTGCTAACCTTTATGACGTAGCACAATATCAAGTAAGTTTTTGTTTCTTTTCGTAGTTATTCTGTCAATTTTTTTAAAAAATATTTTTAAAAATATATTTTATATGGTTCATACAATTAAATGATCAAAAAATTTAGAGATTTTCTTTCATATAATTTTAATTTACAAATGTTTAATTTGCTTAAATTGATTAATAAGGCTCAATTATCATAAATTCGATTTCTAACCTTAAGGGGGGAGGAGGGAGGAAAAGAGAGCTGAAAAATCGTCTCATAGCCAACCTGTTTTCAAATTTTAGTTCCAATCTATTAAGTATTTGGTCGATTTGTATATTTATTTAAAAGAAAAATCAAAAACTTTGTTGATTTAAGATTTTTCATTTGCTCAAATACGATTGCTGGCCGCGTTATCTTCGTTCGGGTGGTGTTGCACCAACTTTTGATGACACTCCTGATGAAAATAGAGCAACACAATCTTTAGTGCAATCTAACCAGGTTTTATAAATTTTTTCTCATTTGCTTCATAAAAAAACTGTATAATTATATAACTCTGTTTTATACAGTTGCCTTATTCTTATGCTTATTTATGTATTATATGTTAATTTGATTATATATATATATATTTAAATATGCGTAATAATTTTGCCAATAAATATAACATTTATTAATTAATTAAATATTTTATTTGTGATTTTATATTATTTTTCATTTTATTTATTCTTTTTTATTTTTAATATTTTTTAATATTTTATTTTATTTTTTTCGTGGTAATGCATGAAATGCTATTATTATATGAAATAGAATAGAATAATATAAATAATTAATAAGTAATTTTTAAGAATTTTCTAAGAAGAAAAAACTTATAAACTTTTATTTATTTGTAATTTCATAAAAATTTTTCTATTTATTCATAAATATTCAAAAAATATTTCGATGAAAATTCTAAATTTGATAATATTCTTATAAATCGTTTAAAGAATTTTATTTCGTCGTTTCATAATTTTTTAAAATCGTAATGAATGGTCTGCGATTGATGAAAAATGCAAAAATGATTGCATGATTGCGGTTGAAAATGCATGATTCTCGTTGATTTGATTCGTTTTATTTAAAATATAGTTTTCTAAAAAATGGACAATTTTTTTCCATATCTAAAATACCTTAAATTAAGAGATTTTTATTTTTTTGTTTCGTTCAGATTTGCCTTATTTAAACGGCTTTACAGTCTATGAACGCTAGCGAATCAAAACGAATTTTTATACATAAATTCATTTATTTCGTTCCACATTTAACGTTTTTTTTAGCCTTTGGTATTACTTTAGGCCTTCTCATTCGTATATTTCCTTCAGGCCTTCTCATCCTTATATTCCCTAAAGTCCTTTCCTAATGTTTTATATATATACATAAGAGCATATTTCCCTTGCCCATTAGTTATGAATTAAATATATTGTCACAACCCGGGCAATTCGTGTAGATTATTTAATTGAGTTGCTGTTTCTTTAAAATTTCATAATATTTAATGTATTTGAGATTTAAAATATCATTAAAGGAAGAAAAATAAATCATTTTTATTAATGATGATTTATTTTAGCAAATTTTATACAAAGTATTTTAAAAGATAATTTAGTCAAGAGAACAAAAGAAAAATGCATCGGATCAAACGAGACAATCGTTTGCTGAAGTATCTACAAAATATTGCACATTAATGCATAATGATATTTTAAGTGATGAAAAAATTCCACTAAATGATCCGGTAGGTTAAATTCATTATTGGTCCATTTTTTTTTTTTTAGTTCCATAAATTTATTAATTATTATTATTTATTATAATAATAATAATGATTATTATTATTATTGTTTACAGACAGAATCTGTAGGAAAATGGACATCTATTTATGCTGCTCGATTCAGTATGGATGTTCGAGCAACCGAAGCTGTCGATGCTCAGGTTCTATTAAAATTATTAACGAATATTCTTCCAAAAAAAAGAGAAAAAAATTAAATTTATATTTGCTATGAAGAAAATTTTATTTTATTTTTTATAAAAACTTCTTTCGAATATTTATTTATTTTTATTTATTTATATTTGATTTGTTTATTTATTTTTTTATATTGTTTATTGAAAAAACGAACTAAGTGGGACGACAAGTGATATGTGCTTGTATTAATAATAATAGTTGTAATAAAATAACGAAATAATAAAATAACGAAAATTAATGGTAAAAAAAAGGGAAATATGATAAAAATTAATAAAATAAGAGGAAAGTAAAGAGGATTTCAAAAATAGCACAATATTACATTATATTACTTATACATAATCAAATGATAAAAATGATAAAATCAAGATTTCAAAAACTTCTTGTATGATGTGAACTTTTTAAATAATAAATCATAAATGATATTATTCATTTTTTTTTAAAAATAGCCAAGGATGAGGCACAAACTTAATCGTTCGATAGTTTATTCCAGTAATTGATAGTGCGAATAAAGGAGTCATGAGTTCTTAGTTTAATTTTACATAATTATAGACTGGATCAACAATAGATCCAGCACGTCAAGCTATGGACGCTTTAAATAATCGTTGTGTTCGTTTAATGCCCGTTCTATATTTTGCTGCTGATATCATTGTTCCCCAAGCGTTAACTAAAACGGGTGGAACGCTCAGTTCCAGGTATTCTTTTGCTATTTTTGCTCATTTTTAGGATCGGGCACCTTGAAGCTCTTACTCTTGTAGCCAGCTGAGTCAGCCTAGCCAGTGATGGTGAGAGCTGTTAGAAGAAGAAGAAGAATTAATTGAACCATCTTTTCTGCAAAACTTCACCTAAAATATTAGTTCTAGCTTATTATATTCTCAGTAAATAGCTTCATTTGCTAGTAAAATGCCTAATTAGCTTCTCTAGAATAGCATTGTGTTGCCAGATCTTTGCTCTGTCGATTTGAATAACGGCAAAGTTAATGAAGCACGTAGCGATAAATTACTTACTTGATATTCTAGTATTCTTCTTCTAACATTTGATCAGCCATGCGTGAACCTAAATTCGACTTAGTTAAAGCGCGTCCTCTTGTCACGCATTGCTATAAACCTTTAAAATATTTTATTAGATGTATATTTATTTTAAATTTTAAAAAATAAAAATTTCAGAATAATTTTATTGCGTGCTCGTCACGGTCTTTCTTCAACTGCCGTTCTAAAACCAGTTCTTAATAAATTTTCGGTAGATTTCGATAATTGTATCGTTGTTTTCTCTGGAAGTCTCGATGTTATTAGTCCACAAGCACCTATTGGGCATATTGGTCAAAAATGTGTGACCGTTATGACACAACAACAATATCAAGGTGAATAATATTTTTGCGTTTTCTGCCTTTTTTTCAATGTCCTCGGTGAATAACTTTTGTCTCTAAATAAATTGTCAGTCTTATAAAAGTTGACTCTTTAATTATTTGCGAAAATATTAGTCGAATATTTGCAATATTCCAAAATTTTTTATTTATCATTTTTATAATTTAATTTTTATAATTTATAATTTAATTTATATATATTTGTAATAATGAAATAATTTTTATAATTTAATTTATATTTGTAATAATGAAATAATTTTTAGAACGATTGAATGCTCCAAAACGTGAAACCAATCGCGATTGCTTAATATCGCCTCATTATTTATCAGCTGAAATAAATTTGCCATTTTATCAGCATGGTGATGTTGCATTTGTTGAATTACCTGTTGATTTTGATATAAGAACGGGTAAAATGAATGCGACACGAATGTATTCAAATGCTAAAGTAAGCTTATTGATTGATTAAATAAAATTTTCTTTCCCAAATTGGTAAATTTCTTTTTCTTTTTTTTTCTATTTCCTTTACGATCATTCGTAATGTGTTTTTTTTCGATTTTTTTTTATTTTAAATTTTACTACTATCCTATCCTAAAAATGTCCTAAAAATGAAATTATTTTCAATAATTTTAAGTATATTTTTTACATTTTTTTTTGCTACATTTATTTTTTTTTTTTCTAGTCGGAACACACTTCTGGCTTGATGAAATTTGTTAGAAAAGCAAGTCATGCAGTGACGAGTCGAGATTCTGGTGATATATTTAGCTCCACTGGTCATCATCACCATCACTATGGTGTTCATGCTACTCATTGTTCTACTATAGCATCATCAAGCGATGATCGAACAAGGTAAATATTTTTTTTTTTTTGTTCAAATGGTGCAAAATTATTTTCTATCCTTTTTTAATTTTTATTTATTTTTTCTAAAACTCTTAATTTTGCTTTTGCTTATTTTTTTTTTCAGGCGAAAACCTAATGAATCGTTTAAACGAACTGCAAGTGCAGCAACTGCAAGTGAAATACCGTATTGTGGTGAAAATAATGCCGGTGATGAACAGAAAACATTTAATGCAAGTTCAGAACCTCAAATTTCATACCAATTTACAAAAAATGATAGCCGTGGTAAAATATACGAAATTCCTGATTTTATCAAAAAGGTTTATCAATTATCTACTTTGTATTATATTTTAAATGATAATTCTGAATAGAATATAGTTTTGTTGAAAATTTTAATTTTATTTGAATTGCAAATTTTTTAGGAGAATTGTTTCAATGAATCTGATGCGCCAAGAGGAAGAATATCACAATATTCTAGTAGTAGTAAAATAGGAGGTAATGTAAATGGTAATGTAACGAAAATACCGCAATTATATACATCTATTGTTTCTAGTGATAAGGTCAGTTGCATTGCAATAAATTAAGAAATTTAAATATATGCTGAATATGAAACTTTTTTTTATCTTTATCAAAAATTTCTTTTATCATAAGTTTTCTTACATATCCATATTAAAGATATTTTCGAATATATACGAACATATTTATGAATATATAGAATTAATTTTAATTTAAAATATAAATCGAATGTCAAAATTTTTTATTTTCTTATTCCTTAGGACCATCGAATTTGGACTATCTTAGTAGGTCACCAAAATTTTTTTATATCTTTTATGATATTATTCATCGTCATTGGTGATTATTTCCTAATAAATAAATAAATAATTAATAAATATTGTATAGTAATTTTTTGAATATTTATTTCATTATTTTGAATTTCGATCATTTTTAATTTTTTATTAAATTTTCCTATTTAAATTTTAATTTAAATATCTTTTATCTTTTATCTTTTATCTTTTAATTTAAATTTTCCTTAGGATATACCTCCATATGAAACGCATCGAAGTATCGAATGGCAACAAGCAGATTATGTTTAAGTGCTTAAATTATTCTATTGGATGAACACTGAGGTAAACATATTTGTTACTATTTATAGCTAATTTTAGCAATAAACTGAATGGTACTGAAAATGGTTTCTGCCCACTGAATTCAAATCGTACCAATTACATTATATTGTATTTTCATCATTTTTGACAAGCATCCTTATTTCTTTGAACTAATTTAAAGGTTAAGGCATTTTTTTTAAAAGTGCTTGACCGTCATATTTTACATAAACTTTCTTAAATATTCATTCATGCGTTCTTTCTTCTTTCTTAGCTATCAATCTTGATTGAAACATCTTAGTTTTAAAATTAGCAATCACTAAGGCATTTGGCCTTTGGCATTTGGTACTTAGCGCGTTTCAGTTCTTATGATTAGTTCTTACGACTAAGAGTATAGCCTAGTCGGCATAGATTCCTTGGTATTCTCATTGGCCGACTATAATAGATAATCTTGCGATTCTAATATCTGCATTATATTTATCTAAAAATAGTCGATTCTTTGGTACTAAGCAGTTATATTCATTCGTTTCATGCAGTTATGTCCAAGATCTCATATGCTCATATGCATAATCACAAAGACGGTCGTTTTTTTATCCACTGGCAATTTTTTTGTATCGGAAACTTTTTTTGCAGCGATATTAAAAATTTCTTCGATTCATTCTTCATTTATCATTATCAATAATTATTATTAATATATTAATAATTATAATTATTAATAATAAATATTAAATATTAATAATATTTCTTTAAAAGATTCAATTTTTATATTTATATTGTAAGTTTTTTTTCTAAATTTTAATTGAAAAATTTTCTTTCAGCTATTTCTTTTGTTATGAGCTCTAAAGCAATATTCATCAATAAATCTAAACGATCCATTAATTTGCTGAAATGCAATAATGATGATTAAAGACAATGTAGGCTGCTATCGAAATATTTATAAAAGTGTTCCTTTTTTTTATCATTCATTTCTTTCTCATTTCAAATGTTTTATTATTACTATTGTTACAGTATTATTAATAATATTTCATTATTACTGTTATTATCATTATTTTTATTGATTTTTGTTATCAATTATCACTATTATCATTATTTTCAAACAGTGATCCCTATAAAATTGCGAGAATTATTCCAAGTAATAAGTTGAAAAAATTTATTTCTTAAGAAATTATTATAATGAAAAAAGCAAATAATATATCTTATAATTTAGTTCTTCCAAAGATTTTTTTTTTTAAAATTTGATTTTATTATATTTCATTCATTTTCTTCAGAAATAAATTATTTTATTTGTCATACTTCTGGATTTATTCTGGATAAAAATTGAAAAATTTAGCTGAAATTAGGGTGAAATAACTAAAGCAATCGTTTTGCGATATGATTTGGTCTCTTAAATCGCAAACATTCCTTTTTCCTTATTTATTTCTTTTAAATTTTTTCTAAGATCTCATTTTTTTAAACGTTTTAAACGTTTTTTGAATATCCTTGTCGATTTCATTTATTTCTGGATTTTATCAGAATGGAAATAATGCTGCGGTTTTTTTGTGATTTTCAAGTTTTTCAATAAAAATTCGAAAAATTCCAATGATATTCAGCGAATTTTTTTATGAAGAAATAGTAGAAATAAAATTTTTATCAATTGAGAAATTAAATGAAATAGATCGATTGGCTATATTAGCTGTATTTTTTGCACTTTTTTTTTCTCAAAATCGACTCGTGAAATTATAAATCTTTCTCATATCTCTTATCGTTTTTTTTTTGTTTAAAAAAAGTTGTTATTATTGTAAATATTTTTTTTGGTATTTTTTCGATTAATTTAATAATTACTGTAAAATTCTAGTTATTGTTTAATTATGTTATTATTAAAAAGTTGATAATATCATTGATAAAATGTTGATGATCTGTGTGATAATTGTTATCTGAAATTGGATGAAAGGATTAATAAAAAGTAATTCGCAATAATTTATCATTCCTTATAAATTTTTTAAAAAAAAAACATTTATTTTCAAAAGTTTTTTTTGCTTACTATTACAAATTACTACTACAGTTACTATTACAAATTTATTATTATTGAAAATTTATCTTAATATTATTATAAAGTTTCTTTTTATAATTTCTTTTATATTTTTTATAATTTTTTATAATTTTTGTATTTTATAATTTTTATAATTTTTTCTATTAGATATTGGAAATAAATTTAGGCTTTCTATTTTTATATGATTTTATTTTTATGATATTTTTTAATAATAATATTTTTAAAAAGATTTATTTGGAACGAAATAATCTAAAAATTTAGCTTTTTTTTAAACCTAAAATTAATATTGAAAAAAATCATTTTTAATTTTATTTTATTAAATTTTTTTTTTTTTAATTTTAGTTTATTAATGAAAGAAAAAATGAGAAGATCGACTTAATGATATATTTATAGAATCATTGTTATCGTTATCGTTATCATTTCACAATAATTTCTTTCGTTTTTTTTTCTTTTCATTTAATTCGTTGAAAATGAGATAAGAAAAAGAAGTACACATGGATGTTCGATGCTTTTAATTCTCGTTTAGCGAATCCAATCGAAATCGCAGCTAATAACGATTCGAGTTGGTTGTTATCATTCGACATAAACATATCAACTATCATTTTCTCTCTTTTGTCGTATTTCTACAATCCGCAATAAATAAATATTCGACTACTCCGCTAATCTATTAGCGAGATGCATAAATTTAATTAGAGCGACGAATATATAGATGGTTAAAATTTTTGGAATTAAAAGCAGCATTTCAGACTAAAGGGATGCAAGGAAAGGGATTTCTTCTTAAAGCATTTCGCTATTTTTGATTCAACTCAATTGAATTAAATAAGTAAATTGCGATAATATTACGGTAGAATCGCTAAAAAATAGAATTTATAGGTGGTGAATTATTTTCGATAGATTTTAAATAACCTTTTTCATAACCAATATTATAATTTTGAGCAGATTTTAGCCATTTATTCTCTTCAAACGCTTCGTCTTCTTTTAGCAGTTTTCATCATTACGAGGATTAAAGTGGATCTCCGCTGGCTGTGAAGCGCTATGATATGATTAAAAAATTATCACGAATACTATACACCGAGATTTTATCATCTAATAGTATTGCATTTGAATTCTCTCCTCCTTCCTTATCTTCTTCTTCTAACAACTCTCCCAAGCTGATCGGTCCGATGCCATCGCTAGTAGTAATAGAAATCATTCCTTTTTCCATCGTCTAAGTCCAAATATCGCTGGGCTCTCTATACGTTCAAAATCTTTTCTGATTGTATCAATCCAGATCTTGGGTGGCCTTTCCCGCTTTTGACTCGAACTATTGTAGCAATTAACAAAATATGCGTCAACTCCCTACTTCCTTATACTTCAAATTCAATATTTTTTTCTTATTTATTTATGCAAAACTTTTATTAAAATGCATTAATCGAAAAATTATAAATTTATAAATTAAAAATTATAATTTTGTGGCTGGCTGTTCACCGTTGTTATTCAGTTCAGCTTTTCATATTTACGTGA